ATGGGGTGGTGCACCGTCTTGTTGAAAATGGATGAATTCATCTTGACATCTTGGATCCTGTTCAATTATTTCAACTATACGAGGTTGTATTGCCTCTTCAAGAAGTTGTAAATAAGAATCACCAGTTGAATTTCCATCAATGAAAAATGGACCTAGGGGTGCGTACTACAAAAAATCTGATTAGTCTGAAAGGTGTTCCCCTTTAATTAGAAATCGACGTGTCCGAGCTTTTTTTATAAATCTTACTTTTTATATTCAAAAACGGCTCTGTTAAGTTTTCGTTGTTACACACTGTATGTTCGTGGGCAAGTGAAATGGGAACAAGTTGTAGAAATAAATAATAAGGACTCCAATGAAAGGGAACTGCGAAAACACGACAGAGAGTGACTGTTAGGACAAGTGAGTATTTTTACAATAGGTGATACATCTCATGGGCTGTGTCCACATCGTAGTATAACTAAAGAATTTACACCAGCAAAGACACGCCCGAAGAAGTCATTGTATGGCGAAACAGGTGTTGCGTTTATGTAAAACTGTTTCTTGAAAATGTCACAATAAAGTGGTTTTTGAATACGTTATGGATTTTCATCAAATATCGGGCAATTCCATCATGAATAACTAAAGAATAAATGACGTATCTTAAGGAAATTCAGTTCGATACAGTTCAAGTGGGGTGATACATCAATCGGGATGTGCCCACATGGAAGTATAACTAAAGAATACATTTTTCACATATAGTCAGTGGGCATACTTGAAGATTGGCTATAAATCAAATCATGTATAAAAATAATTCGTTCAGGCCAGACACAACAATTACTCCTTTGGCTAATACCACGAAGGCCGTTGGATTATCTCCGACAGGGGTCAGTGCAGTGCAATACGATATATTATCATAAGCGCTGTTTNTGAAAGTGCAAAAAAAAAAAATTATCCAACTAGTTACTGTGATGATATCCAGGAATAATATTCCTGATAAAACAGCACTTATAGGAAACCTGAAATCGAATGTTCCTGAAAAATCCGAACCAGCGTCAACCACCAAAGTGTATTCGTATTCATTATGGGACATGCTTGATGAAAATGTAACAAAAAATAGGCCAAAGCATACATCTAGTTCCAGAGCTATTGTAGAAGTGCAGAGATATTTTGATGATGATGTTTTGGCTCGAGAAAAGAGCCTTCTTCAATGGTGGAGAGAAAATACATAAAGTACCCTTTTTTGGGTAAACTAGTAAGAGAAAGATGTTGTGTTCTAGCGACTTCTGTTCCCTGTGAGAGGCTTTTTTCTAAAGCTGGAAATATTTTAAATGAGAGAAGAACGAGGCTGAGTTCTCAGAAATTGGAGCAACTGCTATTTTTAAATACAGTTGCACAAAATCATTAAATTCTGGTCCAGAGGCAATTAAAGGCAAAACGCATCGAATCATTTAGTTAACTTTCAATTATTTATTTTATACAGAGTTTGTTTATTCATTTTGTTTTTTGTTGCTCCATGTATATTTTGTTTTTCACTTCGAGAGTTATGAAATAATTGATTACAATTTTATTTCAGTTGTACCTACTTGATTTTTCATATCCTTGTTCATTAGTATATTTCCTATCCTTCATATGTTTGCTAAGATGCGAAGCGCTTTTTCAAAAATATTTTTCATTAAATTTCCCGAGTTCTATTTTCATAATAGCATCAGTCAATATTTGTAAATAAACATTGGCTTCGAAAATAATCTAAAGCAACGCTTCGAAATATTTAAACATGTGCTCATATTCTAAATTCTAATACGGGAGATCATCGTTGTGACTGAACACCGTCGCCGTATGATACTTACATACTTTGTCACTGTTATACCCGCTACCCACTTCCACCTATTATCAGTAATACCTGTTCCTAAAAAATACTCGTACTACCTTCAATACTCTTGGCCACAGCGCCTAGATACACGCGCCAGTCAAACAGCACACCGTTCGTGGCCTGTTAAAAAATAAGGATATCGTATCGACGAGTAGAGTAAAACGCGTTCTCTCGGAACTCGGAACACATGGAACAGGTATTTTTCGCCTCTCGGGTACGTGTTCCATACTAGTTCCATCGTGGAACAGTGACAAAATACCTGCTCCGTAAATACTCGACCATCCCTAGTTGGGTCCTTTATTTCATTACACAGTATACTTACCTCGGATCTCTCTGTCACACATTTCCACGCGCATTGAAATTCAAATCTTTAAAGTTCGCAAATCCCTAATAGGACCGAATTTTCTGGAGACAACCCTATATCAACGTGTTCGCAATGAAACAGCGCTTATGATGATATACATTTTTTTTTTATTATCTGATCTAGTGAAAGTAACTGGCATCGATATACCTGTTTAGACCTGACAAACCAGTAGTTCGCCCAGGTAAATAATAGACAACCCAACGGCTGCACATTCTATACGTTTTATAGGTACTTAGACCCCCCTTTCCATTTGAAATTCTGAGGGTAACATCCACCCCTCCTAGGGGGTTGAACCCCGAGGGTTGAAAATATTCATTCAGAGTGTCCCCCTTGCAAATAAAGTTGAACTGTCTAACCATTTTTTCATATTATGTACTGGAAGGGAGATATTGAGGGTGGGAAGTTTTCAAATTGACACACTGTATGTTGTTCAACAACACATTTAACCAAGCTAGCGTAGAGATACGCAATATATGGAAACCCCTACTCAAACGAAATAGGACCAACTCCCGCCAAAGGGTCAGCTTCCGCTAAAACCGATGAAGCGGAGAGAGGGAAGAGGGGATAGGTGAAAGCACTCGAAAGACCTATAAATAGTCAGATGTCGGAGGAGTAAGTCTATTTATCACCCGAAGACGATTGTAGATACAATAGAAACGTCGTGAAATAACTTGGTTCGTAATCTTTCAATTTTTAACTTTCATATCGTGTTATTAGTTTTTTTTATTTTTGATTGTTGCTTGTATTTTATTTCATTGTAATTTCAGTTTTTTTTGCTCAATATAATTGTTATTTTTCAGCCAACCTTTTTAATTTTTTACAGATCTTTCAGGGATTTCAAATAAATTTATATCATATTAGACAATGGAAGTCCGGACTAATGAAATGCACCATGAAACATGGTCAACCACCTTTTAACAAACCCTTGTGGTTTCTTAGGAATAAATAAAATAAAGAAATACATATACAGGATGTTAATTAAGTATGTACCATAAATTAAACAGACGATTCTTTAGGTAATTCTAAGACGAAATGTTCATATAAACATGGGTCCGCAAATCCTCCTTCTCAAGATACAGGGTGTTGAAATAAAAAAAAAAGTTATTCGTAAATATCTTAAATATCCTTTACCAAATTTTGTTGTAATTTGGCAATGGTATTTATAACATTGAGGAACTAATTTAGCCCGAACGTGATTCAATTTATTAAGTCCAGAGGCGTCTCGAGCGGGATTTGAACGAATATTTTTGACTTAAAACTGTACGCCACTGACTTTTGTGCAATTTTTAGTAATTTTTTAGATTGAGCAATTAGAAATACAACTTTTTTGTCTCGTTTTTAAGTTTTTAAGATAAAAAGGTCGACCTAATTGCATATCCCTGGACTTCAGTAGGAATAATATGGGGAATTAAATGTTTCTTTTGGAAATTCTTATTTTAACAATTTTTCATTAATAATTATGTAACAATAACAACAAATATTAAATAACATTAACATCTAGACTAACGAATTGCACTAAATTAAGTGTTGGAAATGGCCTCCTTTGGCTTCAATACAACCGTCTAGTCGCCGCATCATTGAATTTCGCACTCTTCTAAAAATACCTGGCGTATTTTTTATTATGTCATATGAATTTATGATTTTATTCCGTAAATCCTCTTCACTTTGAATAGCAGTTTGGTATACCAACGCTTTAAGATGTCCCCAGAGAAAATAATCTAAGGGATTCATTTCGGGCGAGCGAGGTGGCCATGGGTGTGGGCCTGCTCTCTCAATCCAGCGATTATAGTAATTTTAATCCAAAAATTGCCGTGCCGCTACACTAAAGTGTGGTGGAGCACCATCGTACTTGTACCACATACAGAATCTTTCCATGACTGGAATGTCTTCTAAAAGTCCAGGTGAAACAAATTCTAAAAACCTTCGGTATTCTTCTCCATCAAGTCTAGATGGAAGGAAGTGAGGCCCAATGAAATGGTCACCGAAAATTCCAACCCAAATATTAAAAGAAAACTGTTTTTGAAAATAATTTTCTATCAAGGCGTGTGGATTGTTTTAGGCTCAATTGTGATTGTTGTGGAAGTTAATAATTGAATTGCGAGAAAAACAAGCTTCATCTGTAAACAATATTAGACTTAGGAAACCTGGATTTCTTCTTATTTTACCGCGTAACCAATTAGATAAAGCTAGTCTTACAGACAAATCTCTGGGCAATAGAGCTTACACACGTTGCATGATAGGGATATAGCTGCTGAGCTCTTAAAATCTGCTACACTGTGACATGGGTAATATTCAGTTCATCAGCTATTTTCCGAGTACTGGTATGAGGATTTAGTTCAAATCAGCTTCTTCAATTTGAACTGTTTGTACCGTTGTAGGCCTTCCAATGACAACCGTCGATCTTTTAAAGCTGCCTGTTTCAGAAAGTCGTGCATGGAGATGTACAAAAGTTCTTCTATTAGGCACTACACGCTGAGGAAATATTTCATGGTAATGCGTCTTGCAGCATTTGAGTTTCCGTGAGCCATTCCATAACAGAAATGCATATCTGACATTTCACTGTTAGTAAATTGAACCATGTTTTACAAAAATAGTTCGAAAAATAACCACTAAACACTTTTTATAACAATTATAAAATAAAAGCTTGTAAAGTTGACAACAACTGTCAAGTTGTTTATTAAATGCTGCAATCGTTTTCCAAGGCAACCCTTGATTATGATTTATGGTATTTACAGAAGAGTGCGAAATTCCATGATGCGGCGACGGTTGTATTGAAGCCGAAGGAGGCCATTTCCAACACTTAATTTAGTGCAATTTGCTAGTCTAGATCAGTGGTCGCCAACCTCTTTAATGTGTTGAGCTACTTTGTTAATTTTGGAATAAACAGCGAGCTACCCACACGGAAGCCACGTAACGCAACGTAAGTGAAATAATCCACAGTTAATTTGTCATTATATGTATTTATTTTACTGGTAATACATAATAAATATGTACTAATAATAAACTAAACTTCTTTTATAGCTGAAACTATCTCGTCTTTATTTCTAAAGTTGGCAAATAACGAATCAGCAGCTTCTAANCCTGTATCTTGAGAACGAAGGATTTGCGGACCCACGTTTATATGAACATTTCGTCTTAAAATTACCTAAAGAATCGTCTGTTTAATTTATGGTACATACTTAATTAACACCCTGCATAGACCTACTACAACTAAAAATGTGTATTATTATGAAAGCATCCCTAAAATCAAAATGTTCGATAATGAAGACTTACCACAGTCAAATATGTCATAACGCAAATTGCAGTTGTTATTGGCATTATAAAGAGTCACTTCAAATTTACATATACTTTCTTTTTAGTTTGTTGCAAAGTTTTGAAACTTTTTACCTGTACCTGACATTGAAAATTTCATGAGAGATGTTTGTCATATTCACACTTTGAAGTTGATTTTCAGACCATGCAACAATTTTTTTTTGCAGAAGTGTTCCTTTATTCCTTCATTTCATTTGTTCTTGAAAGTAGATTAGTGGCATGATACTACAAGAAGGGCATTTGAGTAATTATGGAAGAGATTATTTGAATCATTGTTTATGTCAAAAAACGCTAGTCATTTAATACCATTATTGACCAAGATTGGCCAAACCACACTAACAAACTGAGCACTTCCTTTCACCACCCTTGATATTTGTTCGTCTTGTTAGTCTATTCAGTGAACTTTGTATAACAAGTTTTGACTGAGTTGATGTATATGATGGATGCCTTATGATTATTGTACGTACTGTTAATGAATATGACACAAAATGTTGCAAGAAATTGTTTCTTGTACGACATATACATTTTTACACGCCTTTTTCAGGTTGGTTAGTAGAATTACACTTTTTTTTCTATTAAGTAAATGGTAGAATAACCTAAAATAGAGAACAATCTAAGGACAACTTTTATGATTTATAAACCATAGAAAATCGTTCAAAAACTTTTGATAGAATCATGAAAAGTCGTTCTTTGAAAGAAACGAAAAATTTCAACAGAAAAATGTTTCTACAGTCCGTTCATAATTTGTCGATAGCACAAAATGAGGGCCCAAGTCATAAAACGGTCGTAAAACTCGTAAAATCATAGGCGGAGGTTCCTGAGGTGTTTATTCATTAAATATAAAGCTTCAGTTTATATTCGAAACTTGCCTTGAAAGGGTGAAGTTGTTACGAACGAAAATAATTTTTGGTTTAGTACATTTTTTAATCGCATTTA